TTTGCAAGCTGCTCTTCATCCTTGGCTGCAAATGGGGTAACACTGCCTTCCAAGAGCAGCAAAGGGCACTGCTGCTCAATTCACAAGTGAAGCAAATATCCTCATGCAGCTTTGAAATGTTTGAATTCCCAAGGTGTCAGAAGTTTGACGGAGGCAAACCTGAGGCTCTGCCTTTCCACATACTGATTTTGAAGATTTCTGTTCACACAGCCCAAAGAAAAAGCACGACTGACACAGTAAAACGTGCACATCTTCCCTGATTTTCAGTCATAAGGTATCAGTAAGATGYCATGCAGTGAGGACACTGATGCCTGATATGTGCTGGTTTTCCACTACTTGGTGGGAAACTGAATATGATTGTACTGATCCTAAAYCCCCCACTTAGGCAAAACTTACAGTTTGTTCACTGGGAAACATTCACAGTTCACAAGGGGAGGAGACTGGAYCCTGACAAGCACAGGTCAGCATTAAAGTCCAGGAGTGGTTCAAAGGCTGAGAAAGCTGGAAAGAATTTGCCACAAAATTTCCTTGATAGTACTCCATCGCAGGAAAATTCTGTGCTGCCAGGCTACAGTTATTCATAATTAAGAATCTGGTAAATTATTCTTTTAAAACTAAATTAGTAGGTTCAGATGTGGAATTCAAGGCCTTGCACTCTGAATCTGTGGATATTGGAATTTGAGATTCTGTTCCAGTCACTTTCAAACATGAAAAAGATGCAGTGGTAGAGTGACTTAATTTACTTTCTATTTATGAGCTGTTTTGGAGACATCCTACCAAACCTTCATATGTAGCTAATATTGAGTATCASCCACACATGTCCAGGAAGCTGTGAATACTAAATTGAAAACTTTCTTGGTTTGAATGGCCATATGAGATAAATGAATGCTACCCTTTCCTTGTTGAAAGAAATGCATAATTAATGCAGAGCAATGTGAAAATTATATTATATACATTTGAAAAAATTTAAGAGAATTATTTGAGCAATCAAGGTGAGCAAATTTTATTTTTCTAGTGTTCACAACAGTGAAGAGGAATGCTTGATCACTTACTCACATAAACAGTGTGAAAGCTGCAGAGGAAATCTTGCTTCCAGGCATATTGCAGGCCTGCAGTGATGATGTCGAATGGGTATAGCACAGCTAAATAATTCTGTTTCTCCTCAGATACACAGAATACCTTACTAGAAAGAAAAAGTTTCAAATACAAGTTCTTCTCTCCCCCCTACTAATGTCCTTGAACCACAGGGATCCTGGGTAGGTCAGTAAACTGATCTCCTGTCTGCTTCATGGGGTGAAGAGAAAAGGTTTGTGAGAGGAGCTGGGGCCTGAAACCAGACTTAAATCATCTCATAAAGCAAGCAGATATGCCAAACAAAACCCTGAAGAGTGGCAGGACATCTTCTAAACCTCCTCAGGTGCTTCTTCTGCACCTGACACTGAAATGGTCATTGGGATATAACAGAATTTATTTGACCCAGTATAGCCAAGGGGAAATTAATAATGGGTACTRCAACAATTCCATATGGATTTTATGAGGCAGAGTATCTTTTCATTATTTTAAACTTATTTTAGAGGTAAATGTGAATTTCCTGAGATCCCCTTCCCTTGTTCATCCCTTGCCCATCCTGGTCCTTTTAATTTGTACTCCCATGTTTGAAATAGCATATTTTAAAACCAGCATACACAGAGCAGACATCACTGACAGCATGAGGAGGAAAAACATCGCTGCAGTGTGCACCAGGCAGGACAAAACCAGAGTGGCTAAAACACAGTCCAAACTCCACTAATAGGATCTGTGGGAGACCATTCTTTTTCTAGCAATTAATGGAGAGAGGTCAGATTTTAATGCCTTAATCATCTCCTGCTGTGAGGGTAACAGTATGACAAATTAAATTTGATCCAAAAAATTGCATTTTTAATCCCTCTCCTGCTAGGCTACACAACCTCAGGTGCTGAAGTAAAGGAAGAAAAACAAATTGTAAAGTCTCTCCCCTCAAGAGTTGTGCAAATTTGAATTCTTCACTTGCACATTGCCATCAAGTTCTTCCTGCCCTACATCAATTACTCTCCACCCAATTTCAGAGGCTCAGTAGTTCCCATCTGATTACACTACTGAAGAGATGGAGTCAGGCCAAGGATTTATCTGTTTCTGGGTATTTTCTGTTTCTGGAGGCAGATTTCCTTTTCTGTTCACTTTCTTCTCCAATATAATTCTCAGTGCAAAACTAATATTGTTGAGTTCATATCCTTATATTATTATCTTGCTGTATTAAAGATGCCATCACCTGTTTCACACGAGCCAATGCTCATTTCCCTTCTATAGGCTGTGGTAYTTTATAGCTACAGCTCATGCCCCCYACACAATGGCTSTGTGYCTCTGTGCCTTGGAGTCTGCTCTTGAGCTCAGAARGGAATCAGAAGGGTGCTGATCCRTGAACATTGTTCCCTGCACACTCARCAGTGARSAGAAATTCTCARTTATTCAGAATGAATTATGATACCCACAACTGATTGCATTTTGCTCTTTTAACAAAACAATGCAAACCTCTTTTTTTCTCCTAGATGCTTAGATTTATTTTAAACACACCAAAGAATAAAAGCTCCTTTAGCTGTGGGGAAAAAAAAAAAAACAGTTTCAAAAAATAGTTCTTAGTTCCACTAGGAGTTRATGAAAATAAATCTAGACCATTTACTTAAGTAAATACTAAGTAAAATTTACTTATAATTTACTTACCAAGAACTAACAAACATTTTATTTGTCTTAGTCATACAAAAATTTTTATTTGAAACTATTTTTTAAAATTCAAAATCAAAATGACACCAAAAGGTTAAATATGAAAACGGTAATAGTTAAATTATTATTTTTCTGCAGTAATTTTCTCAGTGTTTGACCAAAAGTGGAAATTTGAAAGGTGATGTGAAATACTAGTGCAAAGCAGGCACCTCTGTAGGRCTCAAGAAAAATGAACATGGTTCAATGTAATGTTTTAAGACCCACTTCACATTCGTGGTCTAATTCCTCTCTRGTGGTGGTAGTAATAACAGGAAAGCAAGAGAAGCCTTTTATTGCTCTCTCGTTGTCGATTTTTCAAGGGTTTGAAAACTGTGCTAGGGAAAGTAAGTGTTGGAAGACAAGGTTCCTACAAGTACAGTTAGAACTGAAACTAAAGTGACGTGGAAGTGCAGGTACCAGCAGGCAGCAGCCTGCCAGAGCCCCTCAAAATTTTCAGTTAAAAGGAAAGAAAATAAGAAGGCTCCCCCAAGGTTCTGCTCCACTGTGTACTTCATTTAGAGCTCTTGGTCTAGCAAGATGTTTTGTACAATTACAGTGTGAGACACTGACTATGTTGTTCATGTTTTCATTTGAAAACGCAGGGATGTCTGGCAGTTTCTCCTGGGTGACGCCCTGTGCCCAGCCAGGGCACACACAACTCCTGGGAAGTGGGATGTGTGTTGGGTTTCTTTATTGTCTTCAGATACCACTATATCCCATTGTCCTGGGAGCTATTTGCTGGGGTGAGGCCAGTCTGATCAAAATATATTCTCTTTTGTAACTCTTTCTATAAAAGTAAAGTGTTTTGAATTTACCAGAACATTATCACAGTGATGAAAAGGTCACTCAGATCACTGCCACTCCCACCCAGGGACCTTGGTAGCACAAGTACGGGAACAAGACCTGGTGGCAGCACCCATATGGGTAACGGATCTCAGCAGATCTCAGTCAAAAATTAAGATTGCTGTGAGACAGTATTTGGCTGGGAAGATGCTTCTAAACMTCTCAGTGGTCATCTGTTTCAGGAAGCATAAAGGGTGATTCGTCAACTTGGACAGAATGCCTTCAGAACCAGAACACGGGACCTTACTGCCTGGGATGCAAAGCTTGGGCCTGTGGGATCCTCGTAAAGATCTTGTGCCARCCTTTATGGACAAGAGCTTTTACTCCAGAGAGCTTGTGTTCCTCCTTGCAGCTCCTGACAGCTTGATTTTGGATTTCAATGGATGTATCATTTTTAGCCAACAGGCGTCCTGTGTAATGGCATGAAGTGCACAACACRAATCCTGTATTGCTTTGTAAGTTGTCTTAGGGGAAAGAGTCATTCCTGCTGCTCTACTGCAAAATGATTCCAGGAGACATTGATCTGGGATAAAGTCTCCCTCTCATGATATGAACCCACTGTGCCTAGTGCTCATGGGGCTGGCTCCAACTCTGACAGAGACCTTGTGAAGCAGCTCTTGCAGTACAAACTGCAACCACCRTCAATACGACTCAGTGCAGAATCTCTGCACTTAGATTACCTGAGCATAAGCCTAAATTATAGTCTGTTTTGCAAGAGTCTCGTGTCCTTGGTTTCCCAAAGTATTCAAGAAGAAAGACTGCAAGTATCTCTGGAGTTGTGCACTCAGTATTGCACCTTCGGTTCCCAATTATASAGCAGCAAACTGCAACGCCAAAAGTGGAAGCAGGGCTAAAACAGGGAAGGGGCGGATCGCTGAGTGAGACGGAGCACAAGCCCACTCAGGGCGCTTGAGCTGGGTGCGATAGCAGGCCGGGGGGATTGCTGTGCCCTGCTAGCTGTGGTACGCTGACATGTTCGTGTAAATCCCGTCCGTCCAGGTCCTGAGGAGGAGAGAGCTCCTGCCCGCCCGCGGCGTGTGCCTGTCCCCGGCCGCGGGCAGCCGGAGGGGCTCGGAGGGGCAGAGSCAGCGCCGCGGCGGGGACAGCAGCCCCCGCTTCTGGGAGACACCCGGCACGGGAAAGATCGGGGACGAGCCGGGAGGCGCTGGGATGGGAGAGCGGACAGAAGCGGGAGGGGAGGAAAGGGGGCTGCGGGAGGAGAAGGGGAGGGGACAGCCAGGAGGGAGGGGGGACAGCCGAGATAATAAAGCCGGGGGGAAGGGGTAGAGGGGCGCCCGGAGCCGGGAAGAGCCGGACGAGCTGGGATAGGGCTGAGGGCGTGAGCGGGGCCGGCGGGGCGGCCGCGGGGCGATGGTGCCCGGGCGGCGGCGGTGACTGAGCGGGGCGTCGCCATGGGCTGCGGGGGCAGCCGGGCCGACGCTATCGAGCCCCGCTACTACGAGAGCTGGACGCGGGAGACCGAGACCACCTGGCTGACCAACACGGACATCGAGAGCCCGCCGCAGGAGGGCGGCAGCGCCGAGGGCCCCGGCCGGGAGCAGGGCGGCCCGCGCCCCGGTGAGTGCGGGAGAGCGGGCGGGCACCGCGGGGAGGGGAA